ATTATTTTTCTGACTGTTCTTTATGGAAGCGAAACGTGGCCGCTTACATTCAGTGATGAGCAAGGTCTTATGGCTATTGAAAATAAAGTATTATGTAGAATATTTCGATCGAATGAAGGTGTATCAATCGGAGAATTTAGGTGGTTACAAAACGCTGAATTGCGCGAAATGTAAATGTACCCGGTTAATAATAATAACGACTGCGCCAAAGTGAATAAAATGGACATATAAAATTGCTGGGCTTGGTAACGAAAGAATTCTTAAAATTGAATATGCGCTGTGCCGACGGGTTAGCGTCCAAGAGGTAGACCGAAGCGAAAGTGGGAAGATTGCGTTCAGACTTATTTGGTGGGATTGGATTTAGACAGCGACTGATGGATGGAAGAATGTAGACATCGATCGGTGGTATCGGCATCAGGTTTGCTTAGCCTTATTATTAATACTATTACTATAGGTAATATTACTATATTCTCATATACTTTTTAAATGCTCAAGTCGTTTACTAAACGGTAGTCTCTTGGTAAAAACTTCTCTTTTTATAGGACAACATTTAACTAAATGTTAATAAGACTGTGTCCGATGAAAAAATAAAGTTCTCCAAGATATATAATGAAACCAGAGAAAGAACGTTGATCAAATTATTTATTTTTTAAATTAATGGATATAGCAATGTTTATATTAAGATGTAGAATAAAATAATTTTATAGAAGAGACTGCCACTTATTATATGACATGGGTATTTTTTGTCTTAAATTTTTATTTAACTGAAGGCACTTTTTACCAAGTCAGTTTATTAGTGTTTGTTATTTTTTTTCACACAAATTTCAGATATTATTCAACTAATTTAATACACTTGGCAGGATAAAGGACTTTATTATGTTCCCTCATAGAGGCACTTAATGATATATATTTTTTAATATATTTTATTATTAATATACAAAGTAATTTTACATATTGTGAGGAAACTTGGAATAAACCCAATCACTATAAAATGTTTACTTTTCTTATTATTTCGTCTTGTCTACTCCTTCCTAGCCTTTTTTAGGCTATATGGGGTTTTCCAGAGAAGAGGACGGGGGATTAATGCCAGAGTCAAAAGCCATCCTGGCCCGAGACGCGAACTCGTAATTATTTTATCATGTGAACTTCGGTTTGTCAGATTGCAGAGCAACGCTTGTACAGCAAACGAATTAGCTCGCTCGGCCACCTCAACCCTATATAAAATGTTTCTTTCTCCCTTCTTTCAATTAAGGTAATATTGGTGTGTGATATTGTTTATCATGTCATCTTATATAAACTTGGGAAAATAAACAGTAAGCACTTATCAAATACAGAACCTCCATTGTCTGTTGTCCCAACGACCGGACTTCATAGTGTTTTTTCTTATCGGTAATTTTGAACATAAAATTAATAAAAAGGGATGATTATCGGATTTGTTAGGTTTATCATATAAATAATTTTTGTTTCACAAACATCCGACTGCGCCGATCAATAGATCTTACTGTTCTCATATCCTCACCGCATACGCAATGCGCTGGACAAGCTCCTTGCCCTTTGCTATGCAAAGATGAAAGTTGGTGATATTTAGAGGGAGGTCGGTGCGCCAGCTTGAAGGGGGGGAGGTGTGGAGGGTTCTAAAATAAAGCTACTCGAATTTAAATCAGCGTAGGGCTGCCCTCAAGGCTCACATGTGAGATTATTCCGCGGAGGGTTGCTGATTTGAAATGCATATTCCCCAGGCCGGAGCTGAAAATCCTCCTTGTTTTCCTCCTCAGCCAACTGACGTTCCCTATGCAAATCCCGGGCCCGGCTCACTAGCGAAAAGTGAAGAGGTGAGAGCGCTTTTCATATATACTTGGAGGAGGGGGGCCAAATGGGAAAACAATGCACTACCGCTCCGGCCCCTAGCAGCCAACTTTTCCATCATTTAGGCGAATAAATATCTATTTTCTTTTCCACTCTCTTTTCTCCTTCTCTCTGTATAAGGCGTCTGTGCGCCAATAAAATCTCCCTATTGATTTCTTCATATTCCTACAAGATAAGTTTGGGGAAATCTTAACATAGTAACTTTTTTTTTTAAGATTCATAATTTATAAGGATAGGCAGAAAAAATGGAGGCCGCAATAATAGTCTATGTTTAACTGTTACAATTTTCATTAATAATTACCAATATATATTTATTCAACTTAATTCTATTGATATTCAATTTTTTTTAACCTAAACAATTAAAAATTAATTGAATCTAACCCTAAATTAATGAAGACTGTTTAAAGCTCAACTTCTTTTTATTTATTTTTATCATGTTAGGGGTACAATCATTCCCGAGAGTAGGAAAATACCTCGGCTCCACAATAACCTTAATGAATGAGCAACGGGCAGAGATAGACCGGGTAATAGATAAATAGCGCAAACAGAGCTTTCTTTATCCTTTCAAAGGTATTAAAATCCAGAAAAATCTCAAATTAAGGGTATACATTGCTTTAGTAAAGCCAGTCCTAATGTACGGCTGTGAGACCTGTACACTAATCAGTACTATAGAAAAAAAATGTTAAAATATTGGAGAGAAAAATCCTAAATACCAAGAGAAAATATCACTTGGAAGACCAAAAAGCAGATGGATTGATAGAATCAACAAAGATGCAATAGAGCTGCTTGAAGATCAATGAAAAGAAATAGCCCAAGACAGACAGAGATGGAACAGGTTTGTTAAGGCGGCAGAAGATTTATATGGTCTGCAACGCCAACAGAAAAAAACAAGAATGAAACAAAGGATAAAATATATCAAGAGTGTTAATAATAAGTGTTTTAGTAAAAACATCATCTTTATTTATTTTTTTTATCTCTACAAGAGTAAAAGCTATTTAGGAATCAAAGAAATAAAAAAAATTCATATTTACCTGAAATTTACGAGAAAAAACGGTTTCCATTTGTAAAGTGTGAGAAAAAAAAAAACTTTCTGACTCTTTTTATCTCTCGAAACATAGAGAAATCTGTATACAAAACTAAGAAGAAGAAAAAAAAAAAACTATCCCTAAGAACAGTATAATTCTCCGGATCCGCAATATACGTAGTGATTTCAATAATGTTTTATTAAATACATTTAGTATTACAATATTTTGTTCGTAAATTCATATTCGGAGTAGTTTTAGCAACATTACTGAATGGGAGTTTTATAGTGTCATTTTTTTAAATTGTCCACTAAATGAAATCATATATCACAGTACTCATAGAAGTAGTCATTAGTAGCATATTAGGGCATTTTAAAATGAATATATGGAAATTTTGAGGGTATCGAAAAGGTATCATTTTTTCCACGTCCTTGCGATTAATCTATACCGAACGGTTGGCGGGTATTCTGCGGAGAGGCTAAGAGGGTTAGCCACATTACTCGCACCCTAACGGATTTAAGAAGACAAAAGGCAGGCAGAGAAGAGCTAAACGAAGGAAGGGTAGCAGATGTTTGATCTCGACAATCAGGTCCCAGTAATCAACGATAGTCATTTTTGTCCCGTCGAAATGAGTCGAGGGGTGGAGGATTCCTTCTTTTGTTCTAAACCCTTCGCGGGCGAGATCTAATCAACAAGGCCCGCAATGGTTCGCCATTCAAGGAAGTCTTCGTCAAACACCGCCTCTTTGCTGGAATCCGTTCGGAACTGTGTCTTCGTTCTGCTTGAAGAACTAAAGACGTTTAGCTTCTGAGCAAATAGAATCAATGTATCTGCTCTAAATAGAAGTAGCATACGAAGGTCCTTATTTCCTCTTCAATTCATTTAAAACAAAATACCAATAATTCACACGAAAATTTAAATTTTATAACAGGGATTTACAACCTGACGGGCCTAGAGATAACATGATATAATAATTAATGAAGAGTTCGAAACGCGGTGCTGAGGAGGCTTTTTTCGCTCTCTCCTCTGGCTCAGGAAAAACTCTCTATAGCCCAAAAGGTGAGGAAGGGGAGGAAAAAAAACAAACGGATTCCTATCTAAGATTCGTGCCCGTACCGCACTTCCTGCCTTTAAACTAAAATTTCATCATGAATTTCGTTCTATCAATTATTGTTAATGGTGATACATATAAAACTCTACGTATTTCCTGTTGTGTCTACAGTGCCTTTTTAAATAAATGTATTAATTATTTTTTTAAACTTCATTTATTTCTTAATTCTTTTCCAGCCTTTATCCGCTTTATTGTATTAGATTTATCAGTTCCATAGCATCACAAAACGTTACCAAATCATCAACATAACAATTCGAATTAATAACTAGTGTTGCCCAAATGCGAGACCGAGACGAGTCTTGGTCTTGCAAAGTTAGTCGTTGTCATGGTCTTGGTCTTGGTCTTGCGCAAGATTCTCGCAGTTCCTTATCAGCTTATCACTATAGAAATATTACTTTAATTTTTTAGATAGTAGAAACCTAACTATGCCCAATTGAAAAATTAGAAGAGTTAAATGCAAAAGTATATTGGTTATACCAATTATTGACATATAGTAATTAAAATTGTCGATTATTAGTAACTATTTTGCCTTAATTTTTATTTAAAAAATAGATTTTTTTTACCAGTCCTGGTCTTGTTCTTGCAACAGTTAGGCGGCGTTGGTCTTGGTCTTGCAAAGTGCAAGACCAAGACCGATTTTGGGCAACACTATTAATAACCATAAAAAAAAAAAAAAAAAACTATTCTTATTTGTATGCCTACATAAATACTAGTTTTAACATTATTTTTACATGGTATATTTTTTAGAAATACTGTTCTTATGCAATTGATGACACCAAAATTTGTAACTGACCCTCAGGAATAGAGGATTCAAACCTAAAGATACTTTCCTACAGTGGAATTGTTAGAAGTCTATCAGAGTAAATAATGCGTATCATATGTCGTATTGATAATGATACCGTACTATCAGGTCAGATTAGTACTGGGTTTGTTCCGTCCATGCGGAGAAGATGGCTAGCGAACATGACTTCATATGCTCACAGAGATGGTTAGAAATGATCATGTATGGGACCTGCATAGCTATAGCGTTCTTCGTCCTCAAGCAGAGCTTGCAGATGTTGGACATCCTCTACAACATGAAGAGGAACAATAACCGAAGAGAAGAGAACGTACCGATACTTCCCGAAATCCGTATAGTGAAATGAGGTAGACCTTTCTAAAAAGGATTTTTTATGTACTTATTATTTCCTGAATATTATTACAATAATAAATTATATATATATTTGAAAACCAGAAATATTTCCTTTTTGAATCTTATTTAATCCATCCGATATACTTGGCAGACTCATCTCTCCTTTTTAATGCATGAAACTATATTTGGTTCCCCATATAGGTACGAATAATTTATATCCGAATAACACAAATCTTCCACTTTAAAATTTATTTTTCTATTTAAAAAATATTTGTAACGTAGTACTCTCGACGTTTTGGCATTAATGTTACAAGCATTCGTAACTAATTAAAACTAAGTTAGTTATTAGGTCTTTACATAAGATTTTTTATATCACTATTAATTGTTGAAATGGCAAGAATATGAATTAAAATAGAATCATTTGGGATTTTTTAAAAGTTAGTTTAGTAGTATGAAGTGTACTACGGACGTCTTTTTTTTTCTTTTTTAAAAAAAAAAAACAATTTTAATAAGAACGATTTGTAATTTACATTTTATTTATTAATTAATGACTGATGTTAATGTGTTCATATATCACTATAATTATTGTCCAAGTGACAGATTATTATGTTTCGAAATAAATGAAAAAATAATGATTAATTATAACTAAATTAATTATTAAATATACAGGTATGTGTACATTTTTAGTTACTTTTATTTTTTTAAAGACTTTCCAGCTCAAAAAGTACGTATTACTACTCTACTAATTAGATAGAAAAATAAATAAATATTTTTATGATGATAGATAAAATTTAAGTTAAAAAAATATTTAAAAACAAAACTTTTACTTTTGTTATTTATTAGTTGATTTTTATGTCCATGTAAAAATGAACATAATAGCTAACAGTAGGATTGTGTAAACAACGATAATAATAAAACCGTATAAAGTATTTATGGAAAGATCAATCAAACCTTCGGAATGACATTTTCTGGACTTTTTCAGCCGAATAAATCATTTATTTTTGCTCATTATTTTGATTTAAAAAAAAAACAACGAGTTTAACAATACGATGTAAACACTCTAAACCACTTGCTTCCTGAGGAGACCCGAACCGCGGTATTGAGGGTTCTAAGCTCCTCATACAGTATAGATGGCAACGCAAGCACTGGGTGGGATATACACAACGATAATGGGATCATAGGGGCACAGCTGATTGCATTAGCTTGCATCCTGCACTTAAGGCATACACAGGTAATTAGTGGTTGAGGCTCGGTTATATCGCAGCTAATATCAATAAGCCCTCAACCACTCAGCTACGGTATTGCTTCATCACCTGTGTACCTGTGTATCTACCTGTGGAGTGTTCTAACAAGCTTACACACGTGTCTCAGCCACAATATTTTAGCTCTGAGTTAAAAATAGAAACAGTTCCTCATAATTTTCAGCATCAGGTTGTATTGCTTCATTCACAGAATCCTCGTATTATTTCTGCAGAATCGGAAGATATGTAGCGGGTGTTGTTTTCTAACAAGACACATATCCTCTGACTATTGCGACGTTTTTCCTATTAGCCTCATTTCTTCTTTCATTGTGATCATAATATGCTAATTTCTGTAACTTACTAATTCTGTTTATCAGCACACTAACTCACTCCTCCGACATATTCTCTCAACATAGTAAAGAGTTGGTTGACTGTAGACATGTGATTGGTGACTATTATCAGTGAGAACACTAAAATAAAAGTAAAAAAAAAAAATTATTTTATTTTCTTCTGACGTTAAAGCTTAAATTTTAAATCTTCATCAGGACTAGAGAAAGACAAGATAACAACCAAAAATTATTAAACAATTATTGTAAAAAGATATGAGAACAAAACTATCTGCTAACAGATAAATTGTAAGAAGGGATTTAAAATAAAAATATAAGTAAAATATGATGAAAAATGTTATTAACTATCTGTAATAAAGTAGTGCAATAAATATTAATATTATAATAATATTAAATAATGAAGTAATGAAATGGAATAATACATAAGATGTATAAAAATAAATACGATGAATAAGTAAGATAATAAAATAAACAAGATGTGGTAATGGTTATAAGATGATGCCATATATTTAGTAGTACAATAATGATGATAAGTTCAGAATGAATCCTACGAACGATAGCCGTACAGTACAAACATATGGAAAAACCAATAAAGAGCTGCTTACAGAAAATGACCATTCAATATCACGTGATGTTAAGATACGGAGGTTAAGATGGGTAGCACATGTATTTCTGAGCAATCCATCTAGAAACCACTACATAACAATGAATGTATTAATAGTATGTAAAAGACCAAGTAATCAACAAAGGTGCAATAGACCTAAACACATATAACTGGAAAGAAATAGTCCAAGACAGGTATAGATAGAGCAGACTACTCAAGGTAACGAGTAAGTAGAAAATAATAAGACGTAATGAAATAAACATAAATTATCTCATCACGAAAAGAAAAGATCTTTTTCTTAATCAAAATATATCTGAGAAAAAATAGTGTATGTTACTTCAGTCAGGTTTAAAAACGATTTTTAGGCAATTATGTAACATAAAACTGATCAAAAGTAATATATTCATTACTGTCAATAAAAATTATTATTTTCAAGTTACAAAAAATGTGTTGTTAGAAATTGAAGAACAGTTCCCATGTCTTAGACAAAATGTGGAATCGATGAAATGAGTTCAGAAACGTTTAACTTTGTGAGAATATACCTGTTTGAATTTTCTGAGTAAATTATTGTGCCCACAGTATTCTACTCGTATCTTATATTACCCATATGGATACATATTGGGATTTTGAAAAATTATGCATCCGAATTTTCAAAGGAAATATACGTTTTTAGGTACAATAAGCCCACACGATGAAGATCTAAAGAATGTCTATAAGAAGTCCCGTGAAATGGTCTGTGTAATGTTTCTTGTGTGTTGATAAACTGCCTTGCTCAAAAAAAGAAACCATAAAAATAAAAAAAATACCAAAGTGAATTTACATAGTAAGGATATGTATATTCCTGATATTTTGCAGAACTAACAAATCGACGGAAATGATATTTGTGATCACAGATTTCTACAATTTTATCGAAAACTGCTCTAATGATTTTATGCAATTTAATGAACAATTAAATGCTTTTTCATTGCGGGTAAATACTATAACCACTGAAATATTCTGACTGTGTTTAATGGCAGAATTTTCAATATCAGAAATTTTATAAACAGAATTCCAATCTATGTTTCATATTCCTGGCAGCTAGTTTTGATTGTATAAATTGCTGATATTTATATATATTTTTTATTTATTGTTTTGTTTTTTAGCCGTGCGAAGAGAAAATGCTATTAGCAGTAATATGATTGATTTAATCATTAATTCAATTGTTTTTATTAAGGTTAATAAGTCAGTAAATCAGTAAATAAAGAGTACTTAAATGCTTAAATGTACTAAGTTTATTATTAGAAGATTTTCGTTATTCGATATGAAATCTTATTAAAAATATTTCAAAACAAATAGGGCTAGTAACACATTCCAATATAGTAAACTCCAGTCCTTTTTCCTACAGTGCAGGAACCTATGTGAAAATACTACAGGGAACCTCAGTACAAGCTTGCAAGACACAGAGTACTATTACTGGGTAACAGGCGGTCTTCATATATTCCAAGGCCTGGAGAAGTTGAAGGGGCCTGTTAGACGGAAGACGGCTCTGGAATTGCCCCATTCATATGCAGAGGTGGAGACTCCAGAACCTACGCTCTTATCAGATTAGGAAGCGAGTTACCGCGGGGAGGTAAATACCTCTTTTAATCCCCCCTAATTATGCCGGAGACGGATGTGAATTAGATTATCCCCAGCTCCAGGCTTCGATTCGTATTTAAATCCGTTAAAATTAACTCGACAAAACTTTTCAACTAGCGTAGTTGTAACTGGAGGCCGGTGAGCTAAAGTGATTTTCCGCTTCGGCGATCTAAGAAGCTCTTCCGTGCGCAGTTACATTTGGCATTAGTAGTTCCTTGTACGTGAATCGATAGAGCCAACTGTTAGGAACCAGCGAAATCCTGCCTTACAACCGAATAAAAATTAATTTATGAAACAAAGAATTCACAGCAAGATAGTTTCTTAAAGAATTGAAACTTAACCAGCTTTTAAGAAAGGAAACTTCATTTTTACTTTTAGCTTTTAAACCGTAAAAACAGAATACTGAACTTCGATAGTATGACATGGCCAACGAATTATAATTATTTAATGCAAAATAATATGAAACGTTTTAACCGAAAAAAAAATTGAATCACCTTATCATATGATAAGAAAAATGTTTTACTGAGCTAACGTGATTTTTAGTAGAATACGACACTGATTAAAAATGAATTGTATTTTATTTAATAAATAAATTATAAATTGCTGTATTGTTATCTTGGAACAGTACCCTGATGATGGAGGAGATCCCCGATATATATAAATATATACATGTAACTTTTTATTTTATTTTTTTATATATTGCGAAGTACCACGCATATATCATTTTTAGGTCTTTTTGTTTTTGCCAATATTCTCTTTAATTTCTCTACCATCTCCCTACTTCTTTTCTCTGTCCATTTTTGACTTTCTTGCTTCTTCTTATAACCTACAAGAACCTTTATATGTTTCACTGTTTTCTCGAAGTTATTCCTATCTTGGTAGTCCTCCTCTTTGATACCCATTTTTTAAATCTTTTTTCCTTATCTGTTCCGGATAACCTTTTATGTTCTTCAGCTCCATTACTTATCGAATATTTGTTTGTTCAGCCTATTCCGATCCATTTTCTTCATATGCCGGAAGAACTTTCATCTCCTTTTTCTCATCGATGATTCCAAGTTTTCAATCTGTTCCTAAAGTTTATCGTTATTTTTTAATCGGTATTCTTCCCCCATCTTTCTGGGCCCGTATATTGTTCTCAGAATCTTTCTTTCTGTATTCAGTAATAGTTCTGTATTGGTAAATCCCATAGTCTCCGACCCATAGAGTATAACCGGTTTTATGATTGTTTCATAATGGCTAATTTGGGCTTTCTTAAATTACGCTGGAAAGATTCTTTTTATATAAACTCCTGACTAAAACCCTTAATTTATCCATTACTTTCATACTTTCCTATTCTGTTTGTATTTGAGAGATAAGATATTGAGAGAGAAAGTATGAAAGTATTTTCAAATATACTTAGTTGGAATTTTTTTTATGAATTTTGTTTATCTCTGGGATGAAACAACCGATTTTTTAAAAAAATAATTGAATGAAAGAACATTTCAGAATTTCAAGTCTCCCTGAACATTCCAGGTATTCATTTGAAAGATAATTTAATTTTCTAAAACGATATAAAACATACCTAAATAATGTTAATCGAACCAGTATCTATCACAAATGCGTGTGAATGGAATCTGTGGAATATTTAACTTTAAATAGTTAAATAAAATTATTTCTGACTAAATCTTGATCAGTGGGTACTCATTGCAGTTTTGTTATTTCACACAAACTAATAAAATTATTTTATTATTTTTCAAATTACATCATTGAATTGTTCTCCGTGTAAGAATATGATTTAATTATTGTAATTACTTCAATATACATAAAGCAATGGATAGTCAGGTTGATCGGAGAACTTCCATCGCATCCCCTCAAGTAACCCTTTACACCGGCCTGCTTATCCTGCAGACCACCGAGTACCTAACCAAGGGAATATTTACTAGCATCGTTAATTATAAATAAGGTAGGGGCCGTTAATATTGAGACGAGATATTGTGGACTAAGATTAGGACTGCTCCTTATATATATGTCTGAGGAAGTTGGGGGGGGGGGAGGAGGGAGGGATGAAGTTAGATTAGGCATTGCTCTAGCAGTTAACTGCTTCGGTTAGCTCAGAGATTACCGGAGCCTCTCCTAATGCTCCTACAATGCCTGGGCCGCTGGCTCTGCAGATAATACACCTACACCGCGTCTTATAATTTAATTGCGTTATTTTCGACTCGTCGCCTTCATCAGAGCTAATGGACGTAAATAATCCCTTTGTAGCGGAGTGGATGGGGGATGTCTTCAGTTCCTCTATTGATCTCACTGCATGAGAGAAAGATAGGTAGTGGGATTCCAAATTATAAATCATCAAGTGCTTAAAAAATACAATCGGTACTTTTACGGAAAAATATATATTTTTCTCAAAATGCTATTGACACTATGATCATAAATAATTATAATAATATTATAAATAATACTCATATAGAGAAAATCAAATACGAGTAGCATGCATAAGTTTGGACCAGATAACAGAAAGGTTACATAGATAAATCTGTTTATGGAAGATGAGGGAGAAGTACTATGGCTGTCAATACATTATAGCAGGAGAAAAGTAAATTTAAATCAAATAATTATTTTAGACATAATTACTATTACTTTTTTTTTTTAATAATTTTATTGAAATTTACAACTGTATTACATTAAAAATACAACAGATAAATGTGACATTGGTAACATGACATGTAAAATATGAAGAGAAACTACCCATTGGTAGAACTCAAATTAAAGTTCTATATTAGAAGATCCCGAGGCCATCTTCTTTTCAGACGCCTCGGAGGGTTATCAGGGATAGAGGAGGAAGCAATGTTTGAAACAAGAGGGTTCGGATGGTTCTGCAGTTTGTTATGGAAGGATAGGTATCTGGATTGGGCCAAATCGGAAACATATGGAACATTAAGGTCTTTATGGATGATTTTGTTTGTGACAAAGTAAGGAGCGTTGAGGATTTTACGAAGGATTTTGGATTGTAAGGATTGGTACGAGAGGAATTCGATGGCTTAGTGGAGCCCCAGAGCTCAATTCCGTAGGTCCAAATAGGTCTTATTATTGTCATATATATGAGTCGTTTGTAATTGAGTGAAAGCTTAGAGCGTTTGTCTAGTAAGTGTTGGAGTAGTCGGAAACGTCGAGCGGTTTCTTGTCGTTTCAGTCTTGTATGAGGATTCCATGTGAGTCGTTTGTCGAGGTGGAGTCCTAGGTAACGAATTTGTTCAACTGGGATAAGTGGGGAATTGTTAAAGAATACTGTAGGACAGGAGGTCATACTATTACTAAATTATTATTTTTATAAAATTATATAATGCATAACAAACGACACTAGAAGAATCCTATAAAATTATAAAAACAGTATTTACTACGAGTGATACCCGGATGTTAACAGAAATAAGACCGAAGGTTGGGTTGGAATTTAATTTCGAACTGTGTGCCCGGTGAAATGTTTGCCTTGCTACACCTCCTCTACTCCCCCCTCCCCTCTCCCAACGGACTAATTAATTAAAAAGGCACTGTAAAGAGAATAAAACGACATACCTTGTTTGTCACTGGTTGTGGCTAAATTGGATTTTAGGTGATTGCTATTGTAAATAGTAATTCGTCATATGAATTCTAACACCACTCGGTTCTCCCAACTTAAAAGGAGGATAAAAAAAAACGCCTGATTTTGTTCCTAATGACATATTTTTTTTAAATTATAATATATATATATATATATATATATATATATATATATATATATATATATATATATATATATATATATATATATGATATTCTGCTGTTGTTTTAGCTCCAATATTGTAGTATTGAAACCTTATTACACAATTGTTCTCGTTAATATATCCTGAGAGCTATTATACTTAATTTATTACTAGTATTTTGTTATTCTTTATTGTAATAGGTCTTTTGGCCATATTTATTGTTAACTTATATGAACAATACTGTTATTCTCAAGGGACCTAGACCCAGAATAAAGATGATTTTCTATTTCTATTTCAACTTCAAAACCGCTTGTGGACATATACTTGATATACATGCGATCACTAGCGGAAAGATAATTTAATATTGGGAGAGGATGGCTCCAGCTTTTTTTTTTCATATATATATATATATAGCGATAATTAATTTGAAAAAAAAAATAGAAAGAAACTAACTACATGTATGACATGGTTTTTAAGTGATTCTTGAAGTCCTATTTAATGTAACTATACCAACAATAATATTTTAAGAGATAATTTTTAATATTTTTTTTTATAAAACATGGTTATATGTTACCACTTCAGCCCGAAAGCTTTCGGGTAATTATCAATTCTGTTGCCTCATCTGTGGATCGACCCTAGGGTCGGAAAGACACACCTATCTAAAATGTCTGTACTAATAATTAATTAAAAGAGAATTCTGACGGTGGACCGTGATTTTCGTCAAAAAACGTTCTTGCACTACCGTTGGCCAAAAATAGTACTTAGTAAGTACTGAACCCAAAATTCCCCATGGGTTATAGTGGTAGTTTTTTTAATGTATTTATTTGTTTTTTACATCCAACTTATGTTCTTAAGCGTCTTTGGTCTTTATTAATTACTAAGCCTATGATGCGCATGTAGGAGTTCGAACAAAGTTTTGATTCCCGTCTGTCACCAATATAATTATTCCAACAACATAAGCTTAAAGGTTGGAAAACACTTATGCACTGCTAAGTGTATTATTTATGATCGCACTTCCAAACATGTTCTCCTCGATTCTAAATAAGGTCATGTGTATCGCCATAAAATAAATATGTCATCTTTTAGAGAAAAAAAAATTCTGAACATAATAAATCTCAAATGGTATTCCAGAGTGGAAGACAATCGTATACAGCGATGATGTTATCTCGGAATTAAGGAAGTAAAGTATATTTAGAGTTTATCATCCACTTTTCTCAAGAAGTGTTTCGCAGAGAGAAAACAGGGCTGTCTT